GTGTAGGCAGAGAGCAGGTCCCCTTGCAGGGCAGGAGGAAGGCAAGCTCACAGGACACAAACCCCAAATGTGCTGTGCTCTTTGGGCTGGGCGGCTCCACACAGAGAAGCAGGGGGAGCTGCGGCTGTCCCAGCTCATACTCTGAGGACCTGAGAGGCTCCTGCTGCATCTCTTCTCTGCACCCAATTTCCTGATTCATTTACAGATGAGCGTGACAGTCTGGGGGTGAGAACCTCAGTAGCCGCAGCACCAGCAGGGACTCAGGCTCCTGGTGAGATGCTGGCCTCAGTAGTCTTTTCCCTGCAACTCTGGCAAGCTGCATTTCAAAGGAAGAATCAAATATGTTCTTAAATCTCTGCAGATTTAAGGCAAAAAGAGTGCATGTGGCAAAGAGCTGAGGACCTGTATGAGTGTATTGTGTGTGTGTGTCTGTGCAAACTCACTTCATGGTCATCAGAGCCTGACTTTATTACATGGCTGGATGACACTGGCTGTGAGCACACTGTGGGTACAGCTCCTGTGCTTTCTCCTCCACTCACCATGTGCTTGTTAATTACCCAACAGTTCATGTTAACGTTTTCTCAGTGGAGCTGACCAATCCCCAGGCCTCAGACATCAGATGCAGGACCTAAGCCTGTTCTATAAAGCTTCAACACTTGAGGAAATAGTGGTTGGTAGTCCTCAGAGTTAGTGAGGCTATGACTGTGCACAGCGTACTCACTCCGAGATGATTGTTCTTCTGGAAATGGGACTGTCTTTGGCAGTGAATCCAGGCTAAATGGGTCACAGTCAAAAGACAGAAAAGTGTATGCAGAGATCAGCAGCATCATTAGAGCTCCTCTGTCAAACTGTCTGAACCCATAATTTCTCCTCAAAAAATCTTAGAAATTGAAACTCTATGTTGCGCAAATAGTTTGATTTAAGATTCTGGTACTTGCATTCCAAAGTGTTTCAACTCAGAGACATACCACACATAAGGAGAGACAACACAGATATATTGCAACAAATACTGTATTTGGGGTGGGGAAAGCAAATTGAGCACCAGGTGGAGGAGTGAGAGCTGTGCGCTTCAGCTCTCCCAGCAGGCCGTGTCTGCCCTCTCCACCTCGCAGTCTCAGCGACAGCATGACGACAAGATTCTCAAGCAGCGGCCGCGGCGTCTCTCCCCAGGCAAGCAGAATGGTCGGCACACGCACCTCATTCTCCTTGCTAGGAATGAGGGAGCACAGAGAGAGCATCAGAAGCTCAGTCCTGGGGTCAGCAGTGATGCTGACAGGGAATTCAGGAGAAGACACCTGCTGGGCTGCAAAAGCAGTGTGACATGGGCTGCATTACAGCTGGGAGCATGAACAGCCTCAGTCAATGGGAACAAAACCCCACACACAGTGTTGGTCTCACTCAAGGTCACATGACATTGTCGTTAGACCTGTCTCACTCTTCCGTGTCCCTGCCCCCATCACACGTTCATCTCCCCACACCCCTCGGCCATTCGCAGCTTCTAAAGCACCTCTATACAGAGTCAAATATTCTCTTTATACTTCTCTTTTCAATACAAAAAGAACAAGTCAGTATATCTCTCCATATCTTATACCTTGGCAAAATTCACAGACCATCTTGGAATCAAAAGTGTTGAAGAAAGAGACTCTTAATTTTATTTGGGTCTCAATGTACAGGTTATAGATGAGGAAACTGAGGCCCATTAATGTTTAGTAAAGTCCCCTTGGTGACATAGAGCTCTGCAGACCCCATCCCAGAGCCTCCAGTCCTCCTGCTCTAGACCTTGAAGCTCTGCCGTGTAGGTGTCTCTCACCTGGATCTTGAAGGAGGAAGTTTTCATGCACTCTGATGGAAATGGCCAGATCCTCATCCTCTGGCCCAGGCTGCTCCTGGTCTAGAGCTTCCTCAGCTTCCTCTGGCAGGGGCCCAGCCTGGGCCTGGAGGGCCACCAGGAGAAGGACAGCAAGGAGGCCGAGGGTCCTCATGCTGGGGTCACCTGGAGGAAAAAGCACAGGAGCCTGACTCTGTGGCAGTGAGGAGGCTCAGAGACAAATGAGCCTCCACTCACCCTCTCTAGCAGAGATGAGGGCACTTCCCAGGGGTGGTGAAGGAAGCCCATGTCCCCAGGGTCCCTCACAGGATCCTGCATTGTACTGTCTGGACTAGGATGGAGCTGAGAGTAGCGACAGGGACCCCACCCTATTTTTCTGTTTCCCTCTATTAAAATATTGATACTAATAATATTTATAATATTATTTCAATATTATTAATATTCAACAATATTAATATCAATATTTTAATATCCAAGAAAATAAAATAAAACAGTGATTCCATTTGCTAACTTCAGGGAATAAAGGCCTCTTATTTCTTAACATGGACCCTGCTACTGTTGGTGACCGTGGAAGAGGTGGGGAACTTGTGCTCCAGCCTCCAAGTGTGGTCGCTTGCCCAAATTCAAACTTCACAGAACAAATCTCTTTATTAAAAGGATTTATTCTGTAATATTTGGCTTCAGTCAAAAGGCTGCACTCAAGAATCCAATAGGAATCAGCACTGAATTCCAACAGAGTAGAGAGTTAGTCCCTGCAGGGTTGGCCATCACCACTCTCATGAAAGGGCTTTTGAGTTACAGGTAGGGGAGGCTCTTTCTGGTGCCAGTGAGGAGAGTGCTGTGATCTCATCAGGCTTTTGGTGAAATGGGCTCAGTGAGATACATTGACAAAGAGGTAACCTAGGGCTAAAAATATATTTATTGTTTCCAGCTCTATTGAGATACAAGTGACAATTAAAATTGTGTTTGTCTAATATGTTCTACCTTATGATTTGATGTATTTCACACCTGGACCTTTATCTCATTCCATACACAAAAGTCAACTAAAAATAGACGGAACATCCAAACATAAGACCTAAACGCATAAAACTTCTAAAAGAACTTTGAATTATAAAGCTGTGGCATCGATCTTGGCAATTACTTCCTGAAAGTGACACCAAAGGAACAGGCGGTAAAAGGGAAAACAAACAGGGGAGCGTGACCAGCGTGTGTGCACCTACACAGCACACACAGCACAGGGGCCACGAGCTGAGGGGAAAGCAGATGAGAAGGAAGAGGAAATATCTGAAACAGTGCATGAGATGTGGAGATAGTAACTGAATATATGAGAACACAGACAACTC